CCCGGCTCTTCGAGCCCCAGGTGAGACCCACAGGGTGTCGTGATGCCTGCTCCGCCCAGGGCAGTAGTGCGCGTGCCACGCCTTCCCCAAAACAGGCCTCACACAGAGCGAGAGGCGGCCGTCCTGCTTAGCGTGCCTGTCAGCATCCAGCAACACAGCTACAAGGTCTTACACGCTCCTGTCAAAAGTATTTTTCCACTTTTCCCTAGAAAAAGGAAGAACCCAGCTTCACACCAGAAGATGCGGTTCTAGCATCTGTTGGTATAGTGAAGTGCAGTCCCGACCATGGGCTGCTGGTGTCAGAGAGCATGTTCCTGGCCCTGGAAGAGCTGATCCAAGCGTGCTGTGGTGAGTGGTGTGAACTTGGTGTGGTTGGGGGCTTTAGTAGCCTGAAGAAAGGAAATTTGTGAGGCTTTTAATGAGTTAAAACCAGGGAGAGTGTGCCCTGCGACAGACACTGATTGAGGGTTGTGTTTTTCTCTGAAATAGTGGGAGTCTTGAGCTTATGCATCACCTTAAGTGGGTTTGTGCCTCTGCTGCCAGACACGCAGCTCGCTGCTGTAAAAACACTTCCCAGTCTGACATCAAAACCCTGATTTTGCTGTCTTTTGTAGTGGGTGGAAAAAACACCCCCTTACTTATCCAGCGACATCTAAAATACCATGAGCAATTGGCATTCGTACATGCTGGGTATCAGCACTAGGGCTTGCTTTTTACTTCAGGAGCCTTTTCTCTTTACACCCATACTCTTAACATGCTTCTCTGTAATGGATTTTTTTCCTGTTTAATTAAAATACATCCTAGTCAGACCACAGAGTCTGTAGGTTTTTTAGGGTGGGGGGGTTTTTTAACAAATTCATGTAAACAGAGCACATGGATAACTGACAACGTTGGTCCATTTCAGAGTATGTTTATTTGTTTTCCAGCGGAAGATGAAGGTGTCCCGGTGGTTCTGGTTTGTGGCCCAAAAAACACCGGGAAATCGACATTTAACAGATACCTCATTAATCTGTTGCTGAATCGGTGAGTCTTCTCATGTTCTACATTTTTTTAAGTACTGCATGGGATTTCGGAGAAGGAATAAAACTGCCTGCCGAGATTCTCAGAAAAGCTGTTACGACTGGAAGGTGGCTTATCTTACAAAAACAAAACAAAAATCCAGAAAAACAGGCATTCTTGTTTTGGGTTCCTTTCAGAAGAATTGATTACTGAAACATTTCTATTGAAATACTATTAAACTGCTGTCTTGGAGTATGTGAACTAAGCCGTTAGGGTTCAGTAAAGAACTGGGAGTTAAAAAGCTCAGAAACACGCAGTTATCGTTTGTTAGGGTCTTGGTAGAGCACGGTATAGAAGCTTATTCTCCTGACCTTAAAATAAAGATTATAAAGTTTATAAATCTCAAATGGCTGGTCTCAGGGTGCCCGGTTAATGTGGATGAGGCGGTACGCTGCTTAGTACCACCTCTGATTATCATTCGAGCTACTTCTCTTAAGGCTGAATGGGTATGGAGCTGTTGTAATATAATACTGAACTGTGGGTGAGCCTTTTACATTCTCGCTTAATGCTCCCTCAAGTGGGGGAAAGAGGGAGGCAGGTGGTGGTTCAGTTGTGTTAAAGAACTTAATTTTGACGGCCTGGAACAAAATCAGATTGTGCTTCTGATGTGTTCCAGGTCATGTCCTGTTTCTTTTTTTAGTGGACGCTAATACACGGGCTTCTTTCACTGCAGCCTTCCCTCGGTTGAATATATGGAATGTGACATAGGTCAAACTGAATTTACGCCACCTGGATGCGTGTCTTTAAGTAACGTAACAGAGCCAGTTCTTGGTACGTGTTCTGCTGTTTTCTGTGGTTGCCAGAAACCGGTTTCATTTCCCGAAGGTTTTTTCTGAGTAGAGGCTGTACTTAGGAGAAGTTGTCACATCTGTCAAAGGTACATACAGAAAATAAAACAGCAGCCGTAAGAGTTGTATTGCTAGGGGCACCTAAGGTGGAAATCTCACCAAGTAACATGGAGCTGTTCTTCCCTGCTTAAGAGAGGAGAAGATCGTTGTTTACCAGGTGGTGGAACAGGCTGTGGCATGTCAAAGTGGATTTTCAGGCTTTCATATTTGAAAGGTCTCTTTGGGAAAGTCTGTCCCAGTTTTTAGTATCTGTTGATAAAACTAGCTTGAGAAATAAAAAGCAGACCCACGTAGGTTGGGGGCTGTTGTTACAAGCATAAAAAAAATGGAGCCAGAGAAATTGCTGGTATTTGTGGTCTTGTGGATTTGGGTCACTCTCTAAAAAGAGTATGGTCAGACTGGTACACTCTTTGGATAGTCTGTCATAGAAGATTGTTGTTTTAAAATTCACAAATGTGTAACCAGTGATTTAAAACAAACAAGAAAAAAAACCTAAACCCCCAAACAAACAAAGCTCCTAGCATGGAGTCTTGTAAGTGACAGAAAAGTTTCTCCATAGGTGCAGGCTGTCCCAGAAGGACTGTTAGCACGTGAAGAGAGAGGACAGGGTTCAGAAGGGGTTACACAGACGCACTACAGGGATGGGAGTTTTTTGATTTGGCTTAGCAAAACCACTAGAGGTTTGCTGCTTGCTTTTTTTTCAGGTCCACCGTTCACTCATCAGCAAGCACCACGTAAGATGGTGTTTTATGGACAGACTAGTTGTGAGCAGGACACAGAAAGATACCTTGATGTCGTGAAGTACGTGTTTAGCTCCTACAAGAAGGAAGTGCCTTTACTCATCAACACCATGGGCTGGGTGAAAGGTAAATGGGTTAAATCTGTTCTCAAGAGGTGGTGCAGAAGGAAGGTGGTAACTGTAGCAGTACATAGCTTCCTAGAGAGTCCAGAACCAGAAAACACAGCTTACCCTGCTTGAGCTGGCACTGGTCTTCCATAACAGCGTTCCGACCTGTTTATGTAGTGGCAGCAAACGTGTTTTCTCTGCTCCCTAAAGGTGAGGGGTTGCTGCTTCTGATTGATATCATTCGGCTGTTGTCACCCAGTCACATTGTTCAGATGGATGTGTACGACTGGAAAGCCATGGCTCCGCTCACCCCAGAGTACGTTCATCTCGCTCCTGGCCTGTACACCAAAGGCAAGCAGCAAGCCAAATGCAAGCAGATGGGTATGAGTGAAGCGGAGAGCTGGAAGTCCTCTGACGGGGAGGGAGATGCATCGGCTCCTGAGTATAAGTTGCTGTACGTCCATCCAGAATTCCCTCGAGCAGGGGTTGCCGGTGAAGCGTAAGTAGAAAGTTCAGTGCTACTTGGTGGTTAGTGGGCTTAACAAAACCATGCATAGTCCTGATGGTAAAGGCTCTTGCTTTGCTTTGGCCTCGAGAGCTCCATTAAATCGGTCGGAGCTTACTAGTTGACTTAATAGGGGTTATGTTTGGGTGGTGTTTGGGTTTTCTGGGTATTTTGTTGAGGGGGGTGGTGTCTGGGGGGAGGTTTGTGTAGGGTTGGTTTTGGGAGGGGGGTGTTCTCCCTATTCTACTCGCAGTGACTGCTGACAGTCAATTCTACCCTGGGTATGACTTCCACTTGGAATTGTTGCATGTTATGTCCCCTATTTTTTTCTAATAGGGAGGTTCCTTGCCCATTTCTTACAGACCTAGGTGATGATCCCATTATTTCTTAATTTCTCTGATACTTTGAGCATCTCTGAAATGTTTATTTTCCTGGACTTTGTTGCCAATTTTAAGTGCTTTTTTTGACTTGGCCTTCACTAATGAGCTCTTTAAGAAAACAAACGTATTACTCTGTCTAGTGACTGGCTGACTGAAAGGTGTGTGGACATCTGGGCTGGAGAAGGGAGCCATTATCTGTTAAGGGACTGTTAAAAAATAAAACACCACTTTGTTAATAAATGCCTTTTTCAGGTTGAAACAATGCCCTAAATCTAGTGATCCCTTAGAGGTAATAAGAGCATAGCTCTAAATTTTCTTCAGTGGTAGAAGTTTTGAAAGCGGAACGTGTGTGAAATAGCAGCTGGTGCTGCGTGGCGTACTCAGGAACGTCTGGGGTATCTGGTTTGCATCGCTGAGTGAGGGCGTGCTGCCTTTCCTTCATCTGTTGCCGTTACTTTTCCAGGCGAGTACACAGCAGCATCTTGCGTGACATGTCCATACTGGGTTACCTGGGCCAGCTGCAGTCCCCAGACATAGGGGTGGTGCTTCCGCTGCACAGTCTTGTGCCGTATCAGGTAAATGAGCATTTTTGAAAGGCTCAGAGATGTTCAGAGCCCAGCTCGTAGTAACTGACACTTCCGCTTGTGCCGCAGATGTTTTTCGGAAGAGGTAAAACTGCTCGCTAACCCGCAAGAAGATAATGACTTTATTTGGTGTGTCTAGAAGCGAGGTCTTTTCTGAGGTGTCAGCGTGGCGCGTGTTTTCTGTGTGTTTGGTCATTAGTGTTGAAGCTGCTGCGTTTTCAGATTCTGTGTACTTAGTGTTACCCTAGCTCTGAACTCGAACTAGATCGACGCTGAGCCAAGGATACAGTTGTTCCTTCTTTTTTTACCCTCTCAGGTACCTTTCAGTGCTGTTGCGCTCAGGGTCATTCACACCGATGTTGCTCCCACCAACATCATGTATGCAGTGAACGCCAGCTGGGTCGGGCTCTGCAGGATTCCGGATGAGATCAGATGCCAAACCGACGGGCCCGTCTTGCTGACACAGACACCGGTCTGTGACTGCCTCGGCTTCGGTGAGCAAGCCCGGGGAGCCTTCAGCTGCCTTCTCGTCCTTCGTGCTTTGACACAGAGGTTG